CTATTGACTGTGAAATTGATTGGATCTTCATAAACAAGTTTGTCAATGTGTTTGCTCCAATGACACAATATACCAAGCAACTCCAAGCTGTAAGTTTGCTGGAGTCTATGACAAGAAGGAAAGAAAAATTGATTGACAATGTTGCGTTTCTTTCCGGAATCTACTTCGATCCATGGTTTAACTTTTTGGATTCACCATATATTAATGTTGACCAGAAGAAAACTGCTGTGGTATGTTGTACACACTCTTTTCATATCATTACTATAACAATTTTTTTCTGTAGGCACATATATTAAGGACAAATGCAAGGCTTACTTCCTTATATGGGGAAAGAACTATCACTGCCGAAGAAAGTAATGCCCAATATGGTATGCCAATGTCCCATGACAATCCTTATCACATTTTGGAGGAAAAATTAAATAACTTGACTAGCAGCCAATTTTCAAGCCAAAATAATGCTAATATTCGCCAAAAACTGGCAAATTTATCATATGGAAAATGATGCCTTTCGCAACGAATATACTTGACTACTGGAAAATCTGTCAATTAAAGAATAAGATTTGTTTAATCTGGCTGAAATAGTTTTAGCAGTTCCATCAAGTCAAGTGTAGAAAGAGCATTTAGTGCACTTTCCACAATTGTTACCGCAGTACCACAATTAATAATTTAATAATAGTTAAGTTGAATAACAATATAATGGAAAAAGTTAATATCTCATAAGAAATTTAAGAAAAATTAAATGTAATATCTTTTTTTTTTTGGGTTGAATTCATTTTTATTGTCATTTGAATTACACTTTTTATACCCTACACAACTATGTTGTCAGGGTATTATAGCTTTGTGCAGCCCCAAATGTTTGTAACGCCGCGAAATATTGGTCCTAGACCCACCTTTAAGTATACCGATCGTCATATCTCGACTAGCTGAGTCGATCTAGACATGTGTGTCCGTCCGTCCGTCTGTCCATTATAATTTGTAAACACGATACAGGCCACAATTATGGACCAATCTTCACGAAATTTTGCATGTAGGATGAGTTCTGGCCAATGAAGACCCCTATTGTTTTTGGAAAAGATCGGTTAATATTTAGGGGATGAAATGGACCAAATACTAAATTTTTGTCGGTTTTTCTGGTCGCTCCAGAGGCCGCAATTATGGCCCAAACACCCCGAATTTTTGCATGGAGAAGGGGATCGGGCCAGAGAATAAGCATGCATGTTTTGATATAGATCGGTCAATATTTAGCGGGTCAAATGGACCCTGACTTTTGTGTGAAAAATGACAAAATTTGTATTCTATGGCATATATATTTACTCCTGGAGGATGTAGACCCCAAGAGTTGATAGCATATCCAAGAGGAGTGGTTGGCCTTTAAATTGATACCAAACATAGTGATATATCTACTTAGATGTGGGAGTTACAGTCAAATATTTACAGGTGCTTACGTATTCAGATATTATTTAGTAACCCATTACCACATTAGAGGGAGAAATATCGCGCTGATGGCTTTGAAATTGTTCATGAAGTTCCAGTTATGGTCAAGAACAACGCCTACAATTTTCGGTGATGATCAGATTAAAATTTTGGGATGAAATGGACGGAAAACAATTATTTGTGTGTTTTCGAGTAGAGTATAATCTGAAAATCACAACACAACCCACCGTGAAGGTAATCTGGACAAGTAATTAGAAGGACTGTACTGAATATTCGAAAAAAAGTAAGGAAGAGGTGTTGTTAACCTCTAATCGGACAAGAGGGGCAAATATCACGAAATATTACTCAGACTCAGAATAAACATCCTCAGAAAATTAGAGTTCGTGGTAGTTGTGTAAGGTATCGTATGGTCGGCCCCGTCCGACTATACTGCTCCGCTCACTGGTTTTATCAATATCTTTATGTTCTGTAATACTTGAAGTAAAAAGATTTTTTTAATAAAATTTACATAGACACATAAATTATTATTTTCGTAAACAGCATCATAAAATTTTCCAAATAAGAACAAAATAACCCATCATAAAATATGTACAGATTTGCAACATAAAAGAAAGGGTTTTTGATTGCACTCATGTTGAAGAACTCTTGCATACATAAACGTACATTCATTATTTTGCTGTGTGTTTACTTTTTTATTATGACCCTCTTGTTTATTGCTGCGCACGCAAACATTCGCGAATGATTCTTTTTTAGGATTTTCAAATAAACTCTCTTCAACAAAGAATGCTCGCGAATGAATGAATCGCCGACGCTTGTAGAGAAGTTTTATCGTTCGTGAATTTTTTGTGCAATGAGAACATTCGCGAGAGGTTGCATATGTTTGTTCACATTGTAACTTTATCATTCGCGATAAATTGAAAAACATTCGAATTCTCGCCGTGAACATTCGTGAGAAAGAGTGTATTTTAATTATTCTCCGCACCCTGCTAAAAATATTACCATAAGCTTAACATAGAGCAAATTCTCTTCAGCTTTCCTTTTATTGGCCCCTTGATGGGAGGGACGGAGTAAGAGATTGGAGATTTACAATTGTTTAAAAATTTAGCACCTTGGTATTACTTTATGCGACGATTGGTTCAAATCGGATGCTTAATTATCTGCATAGAGTCGACCGAAAGAACCTCTCTTTGGATTTGATATATGCACCGTAATGCGAAGTTTTGTTCAAATCTCATATTCTGTTCGGTTCAAATGATATTTAAATGATCCTAGCGATCTAGGCACATTTTGGTGTTAAAGAGTATATTCCCACGCTTTTCACGATCTAAAAGTAGCCGCATAGTAAATAATGATGATTCCGAATTGAAGCCACAATAACATTATCGCGTAACAGTCATATATTGGATTGGATTAAGACTTCCATTGAAGATTTACGTGTGAGTGCTAAGATCACATTATAAAGGAGTATCTTGTAGTAACTGTATCCCTTCCAGACCAATATTAATCAAATATGAGATCTGACAATTCAGAGAAGCTAGTGTGTGTGGATCTGTAAATTAATATGTATTGATTTATTATTACTTGGAAATCCCTTTAAAACATAGAAAATAAAAATAAACAGGGAATAAACGTAACATGTGGCTCCTGCTTCCATTTTTCTTCAAATACATTCGACAAACTATTAGTGTATTTGGGTCTGAAAGGAATATTTCAAGCTTAAACATTTCAATATCATTTTATTTTACAATCCCTATAAGATTTGTGAAGTGAATTTTATGAATGTTGATCTGTGCTATTCGTTGTCGGTTATCGATAAAACCAAACAAGTAAAAATTAGTTGATTTCAACATATTTAGAGGATAAATACAAATTCACTGTAATTTACACAATCTAATATTTGTTTAAATATATATGATAAACTATTAATTGGACATCACTTGTTTCTGATAAACATAACACCAAATACTATGATTTCCGTTTCCTATAACTATGTAAAATGTACGCTGTTGTGTCACCCTGTGCGAACAGCATATGCCATATATGTGTCTCACTCTTTCGTATACAGAATAATAAAACATATTTATGTTTTTATAATTCAGCCAACATATTCAGAGTTGTATAGATTAGTACTAAACTGAAAATACCGTTTTTTCAAATTTTATACTGCATATTTAGCACTATTATTTCTATTAACTCTGAGGCTACATTTATGGGATAGTTTCTTGTATTATAAGACTTTGTATGGACACGAAATATTGGTCCTAGACATACCTTCGGGATACCGATCGTCATATTTCGACTAGCTTAATCAATATATCCATGCGCGTCGGTACGTTTTTACATTTAATCATAGTACAAACCGCTTTTATGGACCAATCTTCACCAAAAATGGAACTTTAATATAAAGACGATAAATTTAATATGACCCGACCATCGCGACATTTTATATGGAGACGACTTTTTTGGCCGGTCAAATTGACCAAGACATTTGAGTGAAAAATTACAAAATTCGCATTCCCTGGGATATGCTTTACTCCATAAGGCATAGCCCAGAGAAAATGGCAGTATATCCAAGAAAACTTGTAAATTAATACCAATTATAGTACGTTTACATTGTACTGGATTTCGTTAACCCAGTCGGATTAAATTGTCAATTCTTTTGAATATATTCCAATGTAAATGCCGTTTTATATTGATGTATATATTCGGATGTGGGAGTTATACTTAAATATTTACAGGTAACATGTAAATATTTAAGTATAACAAAATTTTGCAAGTTCTGGATGATGTTCAAGGATAGAAACTATAGTGTTGGTGATGATCAGTAAATATTGGATCGAAGTGGCCAAAGAAAAATAATTTGCAAAATTTGGTTGTTGTTCTTGGTGATTAAAGAAACGTCCTTATTTTTGATGTTCCTCATTGGATATATCACTTTTGGAACTCAGTGCTAATTCAAATACCAAATTACAGTTAATAATATACAGCAATTACTATGTTTTGAAATGTATAAAAAATGCGCCAATTGTATGTAACACAATACTTTTAGATTGTATGTCGGATGTATCGACCTATGGACAATATGCATTTTAAAACGTTCAAAAATAAATCATTTTATGTTCTGGAACACGTATCGGGTAATTACCGAAAACAAAAAGTTAAGAAAATTCCTTTGTAATATGAATTTAACTTTATAATGTAAGAATGCACAACCGCGCTGATCTTCATTATCCAGATTTTTTTTTAAATATAAGAATTTTTTACTGTTTATTGGGATTTTTTTTATTCCATTTTTTTAATTTTTTTCACAACACTTGTGAACCAGTCCAAAAATATATCTCCAATTATAAAACCGACTTCTCTGAAATTTCCATTCCTTCTTTTCTTTAATTTTCTCCAACTAGATTTTGTGAATAAAAAATCCAATTCAAAAATATTTTTTTCAATTGGATAACCAACAATGTGATTCGTTTTAGTAACAGCGTACAGTTTTTTGTACCCCCTTACAAGACAACAATAAAAGTGCCAACACCAACAAATATGCATTGTTTTTGGCAATAAGTACTTAGTTTTCCAACAGTGTTCGAAGGCATCACAACAAGAAATTCTATTTCTGTGGCTGACGTAAATTTTCCTCACCCAAAAAGCGCAAACAACTCCCTCTGTGAAAAAGGAATAGCAAGGACGGATTCGTAATAAAAATGTAGGTTGAAATTTTCATTGTCACTTCAGAAGTGTCAATTTGTTATTGAAAATGATTCGGTTTTATTTGGCCTTCCCTTTGCTAGAACTTGCATTCACATTTTTCGTAAAATTGGCGACAAGCTATCGCAACGAAAAGACAAGACGAAGCGAAAGGGTACGCTATAGCAGAGTGGTGACTGTTCTACTTTCGTTGTAAGCCGTTTGTACGCCGGGTGCTAGAGCGAGACAGACAGTGCCTGTGGCAGATTTCAGCACAAAAGCCGGCTAGTGGCAAGAAAAGAACAAACGCAACGCAATTAAATCGTCGACAAACGCTAGAGCAAAAGTAGTGCTTGTGCCGCCGATCAGAGGAGAGCTCCAACGAACGGAAGAAAACGTGGTTTTGCCGCAAAAAGAAGAAAACACGAAACAGAAGAAAAAACTGGAAACAGTGTGCAAAAAATAGAAAGAGAAAAGAAAAAATAAGAAGAAACTGAAATAAAACGTAAAGAAGCGGGTTTTTTCTATTTGAAGCCGTAAAAGGAATACAGAAATACCGTTAAGAGAAGAACGAACGAAAGCGTTTTGTTCGTGAATAGAGTACGCAAAAGAAACCCAAGTTTAGGAAATTCTTTGCAAACGGGAAAAGATGGAAACTCAAACTCAAAACACTACTCCAACTCCTGCCGAGGCAGCCACTACCAATGGCGGCAACGCAACTCAAGAAGTCTCGTCCACAAGTAAGTCGCAAAAAAAAAAAAAACTAAGAACTAAAAATCCAAGATAACCAACGTAATTAACAAACATGATGATGAACGATGACGACCAACTACCGGACAAATTGTGTGTGTGCGTGTGTCTCCCCGCCCATATTTCGTTTATTTTTTTATTGTTTCTAGAAGAATTGGTGAAAATGGCAAACAACAACGCACAAATTTCTTTTTCGGTTTGATTTACAAAAATTTCTATTCCATCTGAACGAACGAACATTTCTTCTTCTTGGGTGGAGTATTTTCTTGTTGTGCCCCCCTTCTGTTTCTTTTACCTACTTGTGTGTATACATTTTGACAAGAATTTGCTCTGGTAAATTTTAATTCTGTTGGAATATACGACCACGGCCAGCCACGGCTATAGAAAGCAGCCAGTGCCACTGACAGTGTGCAGCGGCAGTCGATTTTGTTTTTCGGTAGTTTTTTTTGGTGGAGGAGCAAACCAATTTGTATATACACCTCACACAATAAATATACATACACAAATGTTGTATGTATACGTGAGTGTGAGTTAGCAGCAATGAATGACGCATATAGTATATTTCGTCGTCGTCTAATATATAGTATAGTAGCACAAAAAATAAAAAAACTAGCGAACAAAAAGGAGGACAAATTTTGGCATTACTATTCTGATGTTTACCCCATGTTGTACCACCTTTTGGTTAGCGATATATGTTGTTGTTGTGCCTGTAAATTGGTGGAGACATTTGGTTAGCCAAACTGTCTCGATTTGTGTTTATTGTCGTGGTTCGGAACTGTAGATTATAATGAAATGTCATTATATTTATATATCTATTTATATGTGTTTGATGACGCGTTTTATAAGATGACATCCGCATAAAAAACGAAAAGAAAACACACAAATAGCAAAATTATTATTCATTTTCTTATTTTGCATACCTGTAGTCTTCATTACCCACCTTATCGTTGTTATAATTCTTATTCGAATATAGGTTGGTGCTGCTGCTGCGTTTGTATGTATGACTGACTGTGTTTGTGGTTTGAAATTGGAAACGAAATACCGGTTTAAAATTATCACTAGGTTTGTTGTTTACCTACTATGCCCTCACGAACAATTTGCAAATGAGTTGTTGTTTTTATGGTAAATATTTTTACCATTTCCAATTTGATAATGAAAAATTGTGTTTATAGCATAGAAATTTATAGAATTTTAGTACATTTGGTGGTAAGGAATACAATAACTAAAGAATGCCCTTTCGTTGTTTATTATTGAGTGAAAATTATTTTTTAGGTTATGTATTTCTATTGTGATGGAAATGATGACATGTTTGCCATTAATCAGCTGTTTATCTAACAGGGTTACACAGACACAAATACAGGGGGAGACAATGTAATGCAGTAACGCGCACTTTTGAAAATGATTGATTTAATGATTTTACTACGTTTATATTATCTAGATTAACTGAATGATAATGAAATAACTAAATAAGATATAGGTATGGAAGAAATATTTCTATAATTTTGTAGTTTTATTTAAGTAATATTTCGGTGAAGTGTTTGCCAAGTTCAACGCTTATGAAGGGCGGCATGAACGACGGTATTTTTTACATTAAATAAGGTCATTCCTACATACATACATGTTCGATGTCGTGGGATTGAAATTTAAGTATAGGTAATTCACTTAGTACTAATGTTTACGCTTATGAAAGCATTTTTTTGAAGAGTTTGACTGATTTGGAAGCAAATGAAGTAATTGTATTAATTCATGTTTAACATCCCAACTTTGATATGAGCCCTAAAGTATGCAGTCATTTATTATTTTGTGTCTCGTCATTATTACATCATAGTTACATATTGTGAGTTTTGGAGGAATAATTTAACCCTTTCAGTGTCAAATAAAATTTTTGTCGGAATAAAAATCTAAAATTTTGTATTTAAAATCATACAAAGGGACATAGTTTAGAAAATATAGCAATTGCCATTTTAACCCTCGGCCACTTTCGTCTGTCTTTCAGCAAAAAATAAACCATCAATAGTAATGGTACATAATATAACCGAAAAATTGCAATAAAAGAGAGTATTTTTAAATGTCGAATATATTCGACAAAAACACTGAAAGGGTTAAAATTTGACCGCGAAAAAAAAACCTGCGTAAGAGTTTTGATAAGAATAAAACTCGATTTTATTTTGGTTAAGATAGAACTATGTGTTTTCCGCATTGACAATTATGTTGCGGACCATTGGAACATCAATTGTCGAACTTAGGGACATACTTGCTGGCAATTGACACATATGTGTATTTTTCATAATTAGATAATTAGTAAATTAATAAAATAATTATTTATGAAACGTTTGTAAAGTGTGAAACAGAAACCTTTGACAAAGTTTATATTTAAACTTTTGTTTAAATGTACTATAGGAAGTGATGCAAATGTGGTATACCCATTTGTTTTTAGATTGCCAATTTTTTATTTTTTATCCGATTACATTGAAATTTTGCACATAACATGCTACATGTGTTGTCTTTCCATGTATCAATTTGAAAATAAAATTATTGTAACAATTTAAGAGATATTTGAGAAAATATTTGAAATTCCATTAAAAGTGATTTTAAAAAAAGTGAAGGTAATGTGGTATACCACATGATGTTAATGTGGTATAGTATAATTTTCACTTCCAATTGATATCTTATATAATTTATTATTTTAGTGAATGCGAATTAGCTCGAGATAATATGTAATAATGTCTACACATGGCAATATTTAATTTTTGTATGGAGAAGTCGTTAAAACTTATAGCCTTTGTTTTTCATCCTTGTGGTTCGTGGTAGACTCTCGTAGAGTACAAATGTTTCAAATTGTAATGAGATTTTGTCTAGTGCTGGCCTTTTTTCATGCAGAATCAAGGTATACCACATTACCTGCACTTGTGTTTACTGAAGAAATGTTTAGTTTTTTTCCTAAATTGGTTATAATGTGGTGCAATCGCGCATATTATTTGATTTTTAGTTCATACTAATTATTTTAATGCTTTAGTAATAACGATTAAATTACATCCGTAAAACAAAAAATTATTTTTAAACTTGAACCGAAAAAAAGTCATTTTCATGAAAAATTTAATTTTTGGTACTGATTCTCAACGTGATTTAAATAAATAAAACAGATCATTGCTATCTTATTTTTTTGAGAACAGCAAACTATAGAACATGTTTCAGTTGTTCTAAAATTTTCAGTTTACAAAAAAGTGACTATACCACATTACCAACCTATACCACATTTGAATCACCTCCTCTACTCTCTCAACGATTGTCAGCAGTTGCAAAATGAAAAAACTTAAGTTGTTTTTTCAGTTGTTATATCCTTACTGGGGGTTTTTATACCATTAGATCAATAACATCAGAATATTCATCACCTATAATGGTTAACATTTCATAACATACTATTTTCCATACAATGTTTAACTAATAATTCACTCTTTCGTCAAATCATACCATCACAATTGTCACCAACAATAACTGGAAACAAGTTTCATTCATTAATGGATAAGGACAGTATTATTGAAGGTTATTCAAAATAATTTTTTATATTTAATAATAGGATTTCGTCTTTATTATTCACGTTTAAATGCAAAAGATATCGACTACTGCAGGTACATGCCACTAAGTTTGAAATATCAATTCGAATTATGGATGTTTGAAATTGAAAATCACATTAATCGGTGTTTTTTATAATATCTCCCAATTGCTACAAAATTTAAAAAATAGAAATAAATGCTGTTTTTGTCTATTTAAACTTTAGCTAACCACAAAAACACTGTGCTTTTCAGCCTATTAGTATATTTTTGTTTCTTTCTGTTTGTTTATATATATTTAAAAAATGTTTTATTATGTTCTATATTTTGTTCATTCTTATCTACTAATATAATTGTACGTTAATATTTATTACCTCATAGAGGAGAATATCGGCCTCGTTATCAACATGCACTGCACATTCAATTAATCATAACATATGTGCCATATAACAAAAACAACAACAAATGATAAAGATTATTATTTAATAAGGCCTCCTAAGATTAATTTAACTTGTTTACATTGTGATGGGTGTTTAAACTTCAAGTTATCATAATTCAATTAGGATTAACTAAGTTGTATTTTTTGTAATTAATACAAAAAAATCAGATATTTTAAATGAACATCTTTATCAATATTGCGGTTTTAATATACTATTGAAACATTTTCCAAAAAAATATATTTTTGTAAATTTATTATTTTCTATAACTTATATATCGACGCCTCCGAACCATAGTATGCTAAGTCGACTTAGCATGTTTTAAAGTTATTTACGTTTTTAGATACTACGGCCCTTAATTTAAATTCTCTGAAATTTTGGTAATCATCGGCCAATCTAAACCAAAGTTATAAGCAAAAATGTACTTAGCATGGCACGTAAGATTTAAGAAACTTCCATATTTTGAGAACTTCTGCTGAAAAACTTACTTTTCAGACTTAGCATACCATTCTTTGGAGGCGTCGATATGATTATTATCACACAAGAAAAAATATTGGCAGAATATTTTTCTAAAATACAAGTAGAATAACAGATCATTGTTGTTATTTTTAATATCTTATATTTTATTATTGCATTAGCAAAAGACAAATGTTGGTAGAATATTAGGACATTAAACCTTTTTGACTATGGACAATTTTCAACAATATATAATATAATGATAGTTAACTCATATTTTTATATGTTGAAATTTGTGTTTTCTTCAGTGATGCAACTTTTAAATTTCTTGCTATTTACAAATATATGCTATATTTTTATAGAGGACCCTTATCTTACAATAACATTCTTCTAATTTCTTCGCATAGCCGGCCTTCTCTATGAAATGCTCTATATGTCGAGAAAGTCTGCCAAGATAAAGTTGTAGTTGTTCATAATACATTTGACTACATCATGTAATATTGTGTCCGTGAATCTTTCAGATAACCCTTCCAGTTAACCAATATT